CCTGCTTCAGGGAGAGCGCGCCCGGCGGGAGGCGGCGGGCGGCCATGACGCGCAGCTCCGCCCCTCCCGCCGCCGCCGAGCCCTCCCCGGGCCGCGGGAGGGGTGGAAGCGGGCGGCACGGGCGGCCATTTCCTCGGCCTTGGGCTGGCGGGAGCCCGCGGGGAGGGCCCCTCATTCCGAGGGGGCAGAGCTGGGCGGGGGACAGCACCCCCAGCACACAGGGCGGCGCCGGTCTTCTCTGCTGCTAGCAAACCCAGAAGCCGTGGGGGCCCGGCCCCCAGAGCAACCGCGGAGCGAAACCCGGAGCCAGAGCCCCGGCTCCATGCTCACCCGCGGCGGAACCGAACCCTCCCGTCGGGGCCTGGGGAAACTAGAGGTACTTTGGTCAAAACCACCAGGAATTTTACCACAGTAACCGGAGGCTGTGAAGGGATACGGGAGAGGGTGTGCATTCCTGCTCCTCACCCGTTTTATTTCTTCCAAAACTGCAACCAAGCTCCAGCAACATTGCATTTCAGAGCAGCTTTGGTGCGAGGCCTGTGCTTTGAAGATTGATGTAGCTATAAAACTAAAATATTTAACTGTAGGATTAAATTAAAACAGCTGTAAGATCTAGAAGTCATTTGAACTACCTTTTGCATTGTTCAAAATGCTGACACAGTGCAAGGTCTTGGTAAGTTTCTGGCCTGCAGAGAAAATGCAACAGTTAACGGATGCTTTTCATTTCTATGTTACTTATTCAGGGTTTCCTTGTACCAAACAGTGCAAGTCTTTTGTTAATTACAGAAAAAAACCGTGGTTTGTTTAAACGTTTGTGCAGTAAGCACTGCTGATAAAATCGGCTTGGGCTACAATGACATCCCTGCAACAAACCGTAATTTATGCTGCAAGTTTATCATTGAAGTATTAAGAAAATTAAAATATTTTGTGTTTCCTACTACAAAGACTCAGTACAAGTCTGAAATAGAAGCACATTCTAGAGAATCACCTAATAAACTAAACCCACCACCTCCGCAGTTAAATTTCCCAAAGCATTTTAAGTATTTGTATATGCATCTGATAGATCTAAAGGACCCTGGAAGGGTATTACATAGTACCTGACATTTAAATTCTGATGGGATAGAGTTCCTCTTAACTTTTCAGTTCTGAAATTTGCTTATCATTAATTAACTGTAGCAAAGATGCAGAAATATGAGAAGCAGCCCACTTCACACCTCTGGGTCTTGCCACTGCTGCACCTCAAAACAGCTACAGCAATACTTCAAGTAAGGTTTTTTTATCTAGAAGACAAATCTTTGGGAATATATCCATGTTTCCAGCCATTTTCTGATCAACTCCTGCACCACTCTTCAAATGAGACACCTTCAACTTACATACACAAAATCTTCAAAGAGAGTTTAGACCAGGGGCATTTAAGCAAAGATTCCTTCAGATTTTCATTGAAAGAAGTCAAAAGACTGGACCCCTAATCAAACTTCTGTGCTGGCATCATCCTCATAAGAGGAGGGATAGGTGTTGTAGTTACATAAACCACAATACATTTTCAAATGAAAATTAGTATTTGTGCACTGCTAGAGAATGCACAGCATTTCCATGTGGCAAATTCGGTTAATTTATTCAAGCTTTGATCGATTGAAAGAACAAACATCATAATTATAAACAGTGGTACCTCTTTTTATTAGTACAGACAATATAAGATGCATAGCTTCTGCAATGAAAAATCATGTCCATGCTCTAAGACATCCGATTAATGAAAGGTCCTCAATGTCTGCCTTGGACAGAGGGGCAAACTTCACAGTGTAAACTGATAATATAGGGATGATCGTATGGCATTATTCATAAACCTCCCCGTTGATATTGTCAGACAAAAATCAGCAGTAATTAATTAGGATGTGTTAAACTGCAGAATAGTTTCAAGTATTCAAGTACTTATTTTTTTGGTTGTTTAAACCTTCTGCTTCCCCTGATCCCCCGCTCCTTCCCAGAGAGGCACCAGCCACATGGGTGAAGCGCTAAACAATGCTTTTTTGCAAAACATCTATCTGAAGTTCTTCTAATGCAGAAACGCCTTCCCAGAAGCAAGACTGATTTTTCTTATTGCAATAGACAGTGGCAGGAATAATTTTACCTTTGTGAACATTACAAATACCTTTTTTTTTTTTTTTTTTAAGTAATAAGTTATTACAAGAGAAGTTGAAGGAAGTTTTACATTATTTGTGGGAATAGGCAATGAAAGAAAATGACAGTCTCACCGTTGCACAATTCTCCTCTGACAAATGTGGGAGAATGCACCTCAACCATTTTGTTCTCATGCAGTCTGACTGCCAGAGGGCAGCTCCTGCACATTAATCCTAGTTAGAAAGAGGCCTTATGAACAATCCGATGAAATGCCGTTGCATGTATTTCAGCAGTTTAGCAGCAATTAGGTACTGACTTTGTCTACAAAGTGTCTGAGGCAGTCACCAGTTCAAACCACTGTCTGAGTGCATCACTGAGAGTTTCTGGAAGAGCATTCACATCTCTAAGGATCATGTAGAATGGGAATGGGAATTCTTCCATGTAAGATCTGATTTCAGGCAATTCTCCTTGTCCTTTGAATATAGGTACTTTAATGTCCAAAATGGAATCCTGTAAAAAAAGAATTTCTGTTACTACTAAACAAAAAGAATTTGTTACTACAGGACTTGGATGTTATCTACCTATTTTTCAAATACTTGTAATTCCTCCCCTTCTCATATTAAAAATTAATAGTTTTAAGAGTAAAAACCATAAGCATTTACTGATAAATAAAAAGCTGAACACAAAGTAGTTAAATGCTTTTGTGCTTTTAGATAAAGATGATCTAATCAACATAATATAGGCTAGAGGAGACTGAGTTTAGGCTTCTGCATTACCAAGTTCTATAAATAAACCCTGTCTTTCCTTAGTATTTTATCATTTGAGTTCACTGTTATCACTTTAATTTTAAATATTTCATGCTTTCCCAACACTATCATCTGTAAGCTCTTTAGGGCTGAGTTTGACTTGCATTTGTGCAGTGACCTAAGATATCAAGATTCTTTAGCAAATTATTTTATAATATTTTAACAACTACTACAAAGACAAAAATCAGATTGAACTCCAGCTGTGCTTCTTAGTTCCTCAGTGTAGCAGCTCAGAAAAAAAATTAAACTTATGAAAAATTCATTTCACTGCCCAGAATTTTCTCTTGACATTATAGCCAGGTTTCATCAGAACCTTATAGTAGTTAATCAGCAAGAGAATTGTTAATTTTTCCACAATAAATATAGCAGACAGGTTTTGTACAGAAAAATAGAGGGAAAAAAAAAAGTGAACTACAGAATTAGAGTCTTCATCACATAATTCGAAGTAAGGCTTAAGTTTACTCACTTACTGCACTACAATCTGCCTGAAAAGCTCCTGGATATTTCAGCTTCCCAACCAAGGAAATCTAACAGTTTTCTTTCACAGCTACCAAATACGGTACCCAGCTTTCCCAATTCAGGCACTAAATAGCTTTCATATACTCCTTTCTGTCTAATGTTTAATCTCTCATTGGTTACAGCTGCCATATAAAATGGAGGCTGCTGTCAGAAATTACCAATTTGAATCAAAATTGAGATGAACAAAGCATTTCTCAAACTTTGAATCTGTCAAACTGCCAGCTACTTCTCTAGTGGCCACAATCTACAACCGTTACATTTGAAAACAGAAGCTCTTAAGATTTTCTATGGCACAGAAGCCAAAGTTTGTGTTTTGGGTTTTTTTTAAACATTCAACAGAGTTTGGTAAGCATCACAGTAGGGAGAAATAATGAGATCCGACAGACATTGTGAAAAACTGAAATTGGGCTAAATATCTTTGGCCTCTGCAAAAGACAAGACAGCCTTAAAGCACTACAGAAGACAAGCAAAAGATTTTTATGTTTCTCATTCACTGCACTTTAATACTCTCCCTTGGTCATTTACTTACCCGGGAATTAGGATTGTCCAACACTACAAAAATAACAAAGATATTGGCATTCTGAGCTGCTTGAACTGCTGCTGTCACTCGTTCCTTGCCTTCCAAGAAAAGGCCTCTTCCATCAGATACAATCAAAAGCAGCTGCGCTGTTTCTGAGCACAAAGAACATTTTAAATTCCAGTAAGTAAGAGTAATCAATTGAAAAGGCAAGCAGACTATTTTGTTGTTAGTCATCTGATTATAATGGAAAAACCCTCAGCGTATTGCTAAGGAAATTAAATCTTTAACAAATAGAATTCTGTGACTTAACATTAAGCTGCAGTTATGAGTGGGTCAAGAAAGAAAGTTTTCCCACTGTGTGAAACCATTGAGAATAACTGGAGGAAAAATCCTCAGTCCATCAGTACCATGATCAAGGATGAAAGGCATGGAAAATACCTAACAAACTTAGTCACGGCCTTGTCTTTCATGCCTGGTAGGTGCCCAGGAGTTAAATATTGGCTGAATTGTAAGAATGCAGCCACTAGATTACTACCTCAGTAGAGCAGCAGCTGCTGCAGTGAGAGAGTCCAAATCTGTTCCTCCAGAAGCATTAGAGTTTCACCTTGGACTAAGACTGCTTTTGGAACATGTTTCCCTGTTGTACCCACTGTAACAGGCTTGGCTTCCATCAGAGAGCAATCTTGGACTACCCAAAATGGGTTATTTTTGGAGAAAACTAAACTAGAAGATAGGTTCCAGAGGCCCAGTCCAGGCAGTCCAACCACTACAGGGCATTCAGCCCTTGGGACCAGACGAGCTGAAGTAAACCTGAAACACACACAGCACAGGTACTGGGTTCCTCTATACTGACCATTTTCTGGAGACGTGTTGCTTGACCCAAGTTGCGCCCAGTCAGAGATACATCCCTCCAAAGGGACATTCCAACTAAGTTATGTATCTATCATCTTTTAATTACAAGGCAAATAACAGTAATTACAGCCAGGAATGCAAGCCCCTCTCTCCTGTCGTCCACCCTGCAGCACTATAGCTAGGGAAGGATTCTTCCTTGTCTGCAGACAGGTCCCAAATGCAACAGGACTTGGTCTTTTTATAAAAAGGGGTGATGTATCCTACTGCCTTTTCTCTTGCTAGCTCCCCGATTGCTGCTGCCTAGTTCAACAGGACTGGATGCTGCTCCCCCTCAGAATAT